CATTTCATATTTGACAACTTCTAATTTTCCTTGATTCATGCTTCATATATTCCATGTTCCGATTATTCATGGTTGTTTCCAGCTGTTTCTTCTCATCTTGTGTCATGACACATCAGCATGTGGAGGTACTGAAAGTTTTACTCTATCCACATCATTAAGGTCAGTGCTACTTTGAGGAGTCAGCTCTTCGGCAGTCATATTTTGAGTGCCTTCTCACCTGAGAGGCTCATCATCTGGCACTATATCATACATGTTTCAGGGCTATTCATAAAGTTTTCCAGTAATATATCAGACATTGTTTCACTGCTATTCCTAAGGTTTTTACTTGCTAATTTGAGAAGTGGATGATGGTCTCTCTTCTTCTGAGTCTGCCTTAGCCTGGAAGCTCTGCTGAAACTTGTCTACCACGGATAACCCTGATGGCATTTGAAACGCTGGTGGCATGTCCTCCAGCTTCACAGCAACACACAAGCCACCACAGTATGACAAACAGACAAGTTTGTTTCCCTTACGTGTTCCAAACTGCTCGTGCTCTCCTGCGCCCAGCTCACTCACCTGATCTGCCCCTAAGCACTCCAAACACCCACCTTCTGCTGCGTCTAGCTTGCTCATCCAGCTTGCCCCCAGGCCCTTCAAACATCCACCTTCCACTGTGCCCTATATAACAGAGTAGAACAGCCCATCAGTGTCCTGTTGTTGTTATGTGCCATCGAGTCAGCCACGATTCATAGCGACCCCTCCTTGGGTTTGTGAGGTGATATCACTACGGAAGTAGATTGCCCAACCTTCCTTCCGATTAGTGTCCTAGTGCTGCTATAATAAAAATACTACAAGTGGATGGCTTTAGAGAACAGAAATTTGTTGTCTTACAAATTTCTGTTCTTATAGTTGTGGAGGCTAGAAGTCTAAATTCATTACATTGACAGGACTATGCTTTCTCTTGCATAGCTGCTAGTAGCTACTGGTGATATAATGCTTAAGGCATTTGACTGCTAACCGGAAGTCTGACGGTTCAAACCAATCAGGCACTCCTCGGAAAGAAAGTTGGGCAATCTACTTCTGTAGTGATGCTGCCTCGGAAACCCAAGGACGGGTCACTATAAATCAGATCCAACTTGACGGCAGTGCATTGTGTTGTAGTAGCTCCTGGCAATCCTTGGCCCTCCTTTGGTGCTTATAAATGCATCTGCTTATGTTGTCGCATGACTTATTCCCCTTGTGTCTGTATCTATCTTCTGTTTTTAAGACAACATACCGAAGGCATTAGGTTTAGGACTCACCCTACTCCAATATGACCTCATTAATATACCAAAAGAAAAGTCCTGTTTCCAAACAGAATCACATTAATAGGTACAGAAGTTAGGACTCAAGATACTTTTCTGGGAGAAACAATTCAATCTATAATGTGCTTTAACAGTCCTTTGAGTTGGTGGTTTTTGTTATACTCTTTTTTTAGATGTAGACACTAAAGCTTAGAGATCCTAAGTATTAAGCTTGAGGTTACATAGCTTGTAGTTAAGGTTTGATTTTGGAGGCTTTGAACCACACGAATGTTTATGAAAATACTGGTTGAGTCCGAGTCAATACTGGTTCATAGCAACCCTATATGACAGAGTAGAACTGCCCATGGGGTTTCCAAGACTATATGTAAATCTTGACAAGAGAAGATTGCCACATTTTTCTCCCACAGAGTGGGTGGTAGGTTCAAACTGCTGTCTTTTTGGTTGGCAGCCACATGCTTAACAACTGCCTCATCAGGGCTCCTTGTGCTTATAAAACAAATGCAGACTCCATTTTGTAATGTGTATCTCCAAAGAAAAGATCATTTTGATTATTATGTTTTCTCATTACTTTCTGTGAAATCTTCCTATTTGATACGGAATTTTTAATGAAGGTTTCTTCCCCTACGTTTAGATTTTTTTTGTGTTGCTAAATAAGAGTCAGGATAGTTGGCTACAAGTCTGTTGGCTACTAGTCTGAGTTCTGTCACCAGCTGATTATTTTACCTTAACATATCACTTTTCTGAATCTTGATTTTTTTCTTCCACCTGAAAAAGAGAGATATTGGACTGAGTGGCCTCTAAGATCTTGTCTAGTTGTGAAATTGTAATGAATTAATAAGGAGTAGATTGTTTTGAAGGAGCCCTGGTGAGGTAACTGTTAAGTGCTTGGCTGTTTACCTAAAGGTTGGCAGTTTGAACACACATAACAGCTCCGTGGAAGAAAGACCTGGAGATCTGATTCCATAAGGATACTGCCTAAAAATCCCTATGGGTCAGTTTGACTCTGTCATATAGGGCCACTGTGTATCCAGAACAAATTTTATTTTTAACTTTTTGTTGTGATTTGGGTGAAATTTTACAAAGCACATTGATTTTCCATTTAAAAATTCACACATATTTTGTTTCATAATACTGATTACCTATGTCCTTACCTGTGTATTCCTACCTCCCTAGCTTTCTCCCTACACAAATGCTGCCCTACTGAACTGCCATAGTTGATTGTTCTAAAGAATATATCTAATTATGTATGTAATTGTTCAGTTCATAGGCCAGTCTGTTTAGCTAAGAGTTAACCCAAAGGAGTGAGTTCAATTCCAGGCCTGAAGGGTGACGAGGGGCCATATTCTTGGGGGTTTCACCAGTCTCTTTCTGACCAGTAATACTGCTTTTTTGTGTGTTTTTGAATTTTGTTCTGCATTTTTCTCCTGCTGTATCCAGGATCTCCAATTTTCATCCGTTTCTGAGTGGTTGGCATTGGTAGCAGGACACCATCTAATTCTGGTCTCAGGGTTGCATAGGCTGAGGTTTCCATGGTCCATTAGTCCCTTGGACTAATTGTTTCCATGTGTCTTTGATTTTCTTCACTCTTCTTTGCTGTGGATGAGGAGATACCAATAGTTGCATCTTAGATGGCTGCTCGCAAGCTTTTAAGACCCCAGTTGCTACTCACCAAAGCAGGATGTAGAACAGTATTTTTGTATACTGTGTTGTGCCAGTTGAGCTTGGTGTCCCCTGCGACCATGGTCCTAAGCCTGCAAGCCCAGTGACTCACTCCCTCAAGGTGCTTGATTGTGGCTAAGAAGTTATCCTAACTTTTTTCCTTTTTAGCTCTATAATATATGTGGATATTTTTATAGTACATACATATACCTGTGTAGGAATATTGTCTGCCTATATACAGTCATGGGTATATTTCTGTTTACCTACTCATATCTGATCTTCTTGTCTACTTATGTATCTACTCATAGATTAGTCTTTGTTATTACTGATAATGTAATATTGTGTATGTAACAAGCATTATCTTTATTGCCTGTACCTCTTGTGCACCTCTCTGTGTCTTCCCATTTCCTAGTGTTACTGTGTTTTGGTCACTTGGTTTTGGTATATTGCCTTTCCCTTTACCCAAATCAATACTTGTCTCTTACCTGTCTAGCAGTTTTCCCTCCCGTCCCCTCTCATCACTGGTAACCAACAAAGGAAGTTTCCTTCCATATGTAAACCTTTCCTTGACTTTTTACAGTAGTGGACTAATACAATATTTGTTCTCCTGTGCTTGACTTATTTCACTGACCATAATGTCCTTTAAGTTCATCCACGTTATGAGGTAATTCAGGGATTCTTCATTATTCTTTAATGTTGCATAGTATTCCATTGTGTGTCTATACCACCGTTTGGATACCCATTCATCTGTTGATGTGCACTTAGGTGATTGTTCTCTTTGCAATTGTGAATAGTCCTGTGATGAACTTGGGGTGTGCATCTATCCATGTCCTGTATCTTACCTCTTTAGAATATATTCCTAGTAGTGGGATTGCTGGATCAAATGATATTTCTATTTCCAACTTTCTAAGGACACACCATACCATTTTCCACAATGACTGTACCATTTTCCAGACCCACTAGCAGTGTATGAGGGTTCTAGTCTCATTATACCCTCACCAGCATTTACTGTTTTCTGTGTTGTTGGATTTTGCTATTCTTGCTATGGTGAGATGATACCTCATTGGTGAAAACAGATTGTTTTGATTCAAGATAATAGATAGGAGCATCACCTGTATCAGAAATTCATTATCAGAGTTTTGATGTCTTTCATTGTACTTTTGACTCTTAGGTTTAATTCTAGTTAATCCTTGAAGGAGGCAGAGACAAAAAGGGAAACTCTAGCTCCCACTAACTTTGGTAGCTTCAGGGAGTACTGGCATTACTGTGCCCCAGGAATTTGCATTTTTAACTGCTTCCAGATGATGCTAATTCCTCTGGTCCGGAAAACTCACTTTGAGCAACATGACTCAAGTCCTGTCACTCTCAGATGCTTACAGGAATCACCTAAATAGTCTATTAGTTTTTAAATTATTTTTGTTCTTAAAAATAATTTATTTTAGGAGGTACCTAGTAGATTTCATTAAAATGGTAATAAAAGAAGTGAGACTAAATTGATTGATGATACTAGTAATGTATAACAAAAAATACTTGATTTCTTATGAAGGATACCTGTGCTTAAAAATAATTTTAATGCAATACAATACATTCCATAAGGTCAAATGTATAGATATAATACTTAAAATTCTGAGGCAGTTTTGGACAAAAAAACATGTTAAGCTCTATCATGGATATCTAGGGGTGAAGACATCCTTTTAAAATCTCCTTAATGATTCTGAGGTGATCCTATGAAGAACCTCTACTCTAGGTAAATACCAGTATGAATAGATCAGGGATGGGAAGGATAGGAAAAGATACCACGGACTCATCAGTATCTAAGGAATTTCATGTGCATTATTTCACCATTGCCTAGTTGCATGTGGACATCTGGAAACATTTGTCAGTTAAGGGCCAACTCAGCAAGTCATTCTGGGCCTCAGAGCCATGGGAGTAGGGTGGCCAACACTGAAAAAAGAAATTATATTTGGTTTTAATCACTGGCTAGTAAACCTTTGGTTCTTCTTAAGTTTTATTTATTTCCTTTTAAAACACATTAAGAATCTCTTTTTCCTTCTATAGGCTCTTATTGCAGAGAGTGTTGGAAGTTATGACACAATGGATCTCTTCCGGCACACTACGGAACTCAGTATGCATGTAAGAGTTTCAACATTCTTGAGGAATCATTAATGAATAAAGTATTATTCAAATACAAATAAGCTGTCTCACAGTAAAGAACTCTTAGTTTTAATCTATCTGTTTTCATAGAACTGGTGGAAAAATGACATTGGGATTTAAAAGGGATAGTAGCAGTCAGGCTAAGAAATGGAGATCTAGGAAAAAAGTGAGCATGAGATAGGGGCTAGACTTGTTTACATTTCCAGCTTACTTATGAAAATTTTAGAATTATTTTGTTTGGTAGTTATTAGTTTCGTATTCTTATTGTCCTATGAGGATGACGCTGAGAAAGGGAAACCCAAGCCATGTAGTGTGGCTGCTTTCCTACAATGTATATTTATTTCATTTGATTCTTCTACTTAGGATTAGAACAAGTGATTTCAATGTTCTTAGCTGTGTTTTGTCCTAGTGATCCTTCTTTAAGAGACTTAACAGTTGACTTAAAGAAGACTAAGATAAGATATTTATTGTATTAAAGTGCATTATTTCATTTTTCAGTTTTTCTTGTTGTGTCCACTTGCTAACTTTGACTTCCTTTTAAAGACTGAGGGTGCAATAGGTTATGCATACTGGGTCTGTACAACGTTGCAAGATAAAAGCAACAGGGAAACAGAGTTGTACCGCTACAACATCCTCCAGATGAATGCTATTCCAGCAGCACATATCGTTTTGAGTAAATACACAGGTAAGGTACCTATTATATTGGCAAGATATTTGAATAACTGTTAAAGTAATTTAAAGAATTTCTTTTTATAATTAATTCAAAATTAAATATTAATATTATTCAAGAAATGAATTTCACTTTTTTTTTTTTTAATGTCTTACCAATCTTTTTGAAGAATAATGAAAAGAGTATGTTATCCAGACAAAAATGATCTCCTAGAAGACTCCTTGGTGTAGTGGAAAGCGTTTTGGGGCATAAAAGGACTGAGCTATTGCTGTTCTAGCTCTGCTAATTCCTTTCTCTGCTATCTTGGGCCATTTATTTTATCTCCCTTAAATTCTGTTTACTTCTTGGAAAGTAGACACAATAAAATACCTAAGTTTTAGAGTTATGAGAATTCAATGAAATGCCAAACCCAACTCTACCAATTTCCCTTTTTAACACCTGATTTTTCTTCAAGATACTAGAAAAATATGTGTAGGCTTAGGAAAATGACAGTATAGTGAAATTTTATCAACCATCTATTATAACAGTTGCCTTCCTTCCTTAATACTGCCATTGAATTTTAATACTTTCTCCACACATAGTAGCTATGATGAGACCTAAGGCATTTTAGTTCTCAATTAAAACTAAAACAATTGAATTTTAGTTTTATCTTTTATAATACCAAAAAAAAAAAAAAAAAAAACCCACCAAATTCACTGCCATCTAGTCAATTCCTACGCATAGCAGCTTCTTTTGGGTTTCTGAGGTAGTAAATCTTTACAGAATGCCCAGTCTTTCTTCTATGGAATGGCTGGTAGGTTTGAACTGCCAGCCTCCTGGTTAGCAGTCAAATGCCTTAGGTACTATACATCAGAGCTCTAATACATACTGCTTAGAACTTTAATGAGATGATTTATGCAGAATGCCATTCATTGTCTACCATATCCTAGATGTTCATGAACTGTTAGTTTCATTAACATTTTATTTATTTTTTTTGGCAAATTTCTAATAAGCTTGGCCTAACCAAGTATCAAGGAGCTCTGGTAGCATAGCGGCTAAAGCACTTGACTGCTAACCAGAAGGCTGGCGGTTCAAACCCACCAGCCACT